TACAATAATGCATAGTTGAGGCGTCCATCAATTCTGATCGATCCACAAAAGCAGCAATTAAGTATAGGAAACAAAAAGGATGATAAGAAATTTTCTATTTACGAATAATCTTCATCAATTTGTGATAATTTTTATACAACAAAAAACAAGGACAGAATTATCCGTACTACAAGATTCTTATAATTATAAAAGTATGTCTTTTCTTTCATTTAATTGTTCAAAAGTTTAACATCGTCTGTTATATCTATGTTTGAGATGTAACATTAATCATAGAATAATATACACAATACAAGAGATAGTTCTAATAACAGTAACCTTTAAAACTCATTTATTCATCTTCAAAAAGTACCTTATCTATATACTTCCAAACTATGGAAATATGACGTAAGAAACAATGCAATTCTATAGGTTATTGATAGAATATTGTGACTGCCTTTTCTTCAAACATCTTCACACAGCATGTTACATTTTCAATGGTCAATTCAGAAAGTTCCTATAGGAGTGCAATAATCAACATCCTCTAATAGTAATAACAGCTTTTTGAATATAGTTTAATTATAATCTTGACGAACATAGAAACAAATTACTGAAATACTAACCGTGTATTAAATTTCAAACGTTAGTTGTTAATTTAAACGAGTACTCAAAGAAAAAATCAATTGGTAATACGTAAGAAAAATTAAAATTTATTTACAGTCAAATATAAAAAAATCTAATTGAACAATTAGACAAAAAAATGAGTTATAATAATGGTGAATTTTTATCACTTTCAATAAGTAGTCTGACGGTATTGTTACTTGAATTTTAATGTATATATCAATTCTGTAGTACTTCGATGAGATGAATTGTAATATACTAATCTCGGAGAGGATAGTTCTGCGATTGGAATTTTGAAATTTTGGATGTTTCTTTAAAAAAATTTGATAAAGAAATACAAATATTTTGAATATATTATAATGAATTATAAATAATCTATTAGAAATAATACATAGCAAGTATTGATCCAAAGCATCTAACATTGAGAGATGAAGGTGTCATAGTTTTTTTTTGCAAACGGAGAATATCTTTCTTCTCACAGAATGCAAAAGAGAATTTCAGCTCTGCTGGAAGAAATTAAAGCTTTCCACGATTGGGAGGTGAAGAAGGGTGTTATATTTCCTCGGTCGGGCCACCCTTGTACATAGCATGTGATAATTCACACCAAGTCTTGAATATATAACTTATCTATGCTATAATCATTTTAATCAAGCATCTAGCACTGTTCTGATCACTTATTTTAAACTACGATGAATCACAATATATATTAGACAAATCAGAAATAAGAAAAATATTTGCATCTATATTTAGATTAATTTTGATTTTATTTTTTGAGAACACTAGACTGATTTCGATCATGTTTTTAGTTTGTTCTGATGATATTAATATATAATAGGATTAGTGATAACACCCTCTTTGATGAAATCATACTACATATATCAGATGTTCACTCGAAAGAATTACTATCATTATTTGGGTGAGAATATTGAACTATTGCAATATAGTCATTTATTTTTACTTATAATATATACTATATCTTTTCTGATCGATTTAATTTTAAGCTTGCGCTATAAGATAATTTCTTTTTTTTTTTTCGAAAGAAATAACAAAATTGAAGTTTTATCTGTTGGTGAAATATAACACAAACATTGTTCTTTTGTGTTTTCATTGATTATTAAAATCCTTATTTAAACATCTGAAGAAATATGATCATCGTCAGACATATAACAAATTCAATTCGATCTATGTTATACGCTTTTCGTTTTTACTTATTAAAAAAAAAAGAAATAACATTGAATGCACAACTTGTCTACATTACTGTTATCATTCTCATTTTCTCTTTATTCTATTCTGACTTGCTTGTTCGCTTGATTAAGCATCAAATTAGAGCATAGAAAAGAAGTAAAAGCAAAGAAAATTAAGTAATCTAACGACGACACATTGTGATCCATTTGTGTTTCTTTAGTGCACTGACCGATGCGCATCGACGCATTACTAACTACAAAAGGTGTAAGATGTCTTTATAAGCGAATACAGGAAACGGATGCACAACACGTCACATAGTTTCTGCCTATTGACATTGTACGTGTGTTATCATGATTAAAGCCAAAAAAAAAGAAATCACTTTCATTTCCTTGTGATGTACAAACGGTATACTTCGTTGAACTTGAAAGTACATGAAAAAGAAAAAAATTGTTGTCAATATCTTCTGCTCATATGAACGGTAGGCATTAGTCAACCTTGTATCTGTTGTGTATTATAATGACGCTGTTGTTTGTAAGGCCGTCAAGTAAACGATCCGGAAATGGGTCACTTAGATGGGTAGTAGTGTTGGTGCAACATGATGCCGTTTCTCTCTCTCTCTCTGCCTCGCTTTCTCTCTTTTTTTTCTGTTGTTATTCATCAATGCACATTGAAAGCTTGCAGCTTTATCGAGGCGGAGAAAGAGAAAAAAAATCTTTATACACATGAATTCCTTGTATATACACATTCTTGAGCACGAAGACAACGTAAGTAAGTTTCATTCGACAAAAAAAATTGGGCTAATTTTCCTTTGATATAATATTGATGATATCAACGGTTCAGATCTCAAGTTACGTTCTTTTTTCTTTTTTCTTTTTTTAATCTTTATGAGGCACAATTTGTGTCTATCCAGATTAGAATCGCTTCTAATTGTTATGCAATATATATATATATATATATGTATATATATGCATGGTCAATTACGTTCGAATAAATGAATCAATCTGAACTGCACGAAAGACGTACGGAAGAACTGGCTAGCATTTCCTTTGTCTCTATTTGGGTATTACTAATGGCGCGTGACTTCATTGGACATCACGTCGTAGGTTCAATGTCATTCTCTCTCTTTTTTTTCTCATTCTCTCTCGCTTTCTGACTCTACTCTTGTTGTTACATTACATTGTGTTCATTGAATGGAGTGCTTCATTCACTCTTTCGCTCTCTTATTACAATGTTCTAATGTGTATAGATGTGTGGAGTGTTGTTCAATCGATATTCATGCTGAATAGAGCATCAACAGAAAAAAAAAGAAGCAAAAAGATTGACGTTGAATTTCAAAAGCTTATGCTCGCGTACTATCGTTCATCTACTTTAGTTCTTTTTTTTGCATCTATTCACTAGTTACAGTCAATGCTAAGTGAGTGCTCGGAGTATGTTGATTTTATTTCTATGTTAAAGTTAGCTCATTTTGTCGTCTATGTTCTTCATCTAACCACTCGAAGATACAAGGAAATCCATGACAGTATGTCATGGTAAATTATTAAGGATGGGGAAGAGGAATATGATGACAAAAATTCAAAATCTTATTGAATTGATTGCGCGCTCAACGTCATCATTCTATTGAACTGAGTAATGACCAATTCTTGCATTAATAACGTTGTTTTGTTTCGGCAAGTTTTAAAAGTCAGTTATTCATATTGCGTCACGATTGGAGTACTATATTGTCAGGAATCACCACATCCACAGTTGCTTCCCGTTTTTCTTTTCTTTTATTTTTATTTTATCTAAACAGCACAATGTGTGAAATTCCGTTCTCACTCTCTCGCTTTCTGTCCTTTCCGTTTGTATGTGATCAATGCAAAACAATCATACTATGATGAATCCTTGCAGTTGCTACAACGACAAAAAAAACCGATGTTACTGCCAAAAGTTTTTGTTCTTTTGCACTTTTACTCTTTCATGTCTTCTTGCGTGCTTCGGTATGTATATATATATATATGTGTGTGTGTGTGTGTGATCGATCGCTCGTTAGACTCTACCAGTAGTCATAGTAGTAGATCGTTGGCCATGTCTAAACAAACACATCTTAACAATAAAACTTCGATTATCTTCTATCAATCAGACAGAGAGATAGAAGGAAAAGAATTATACAGGTGAATGATGTAATCATATGTATTAGTATACCATCACATCCGGATGCATGTATGTATGTATGTTTTTACGAAATGCGTCGATGTGATGCCCTCAAGTAGATAGACAGCGTGTGAAACCTGTCGTCGTCTACTTTTTTCTGTACACATCACATATAGATATGAATGCAGAGAGGAAGAGTGAGAGAGAGAGAGAGAGAGAGAGAGAGAGATCGAGAATTGCGTGATAGTCATAATGAATTGAACGTAGGCAGGCGAAAAAAACACACGATAAGACATGTGTGTTTGTATGAATAAATGACTGGAAAAGCTCGTTAGACTCACCATCGAGATAAGGCGACGATGAGCATTGAAGTATGTATGTATGTGTATGTTCTCAGAAGACAACTTAATGAAATGCATCTTTCAGCAAGTGATAGTAGATGAGTCGTTCTATGCTGAAGAATATCTTCTTCCCTTGCGACTATCTATATAGCAAAGAAGATTACAGGTACAATTCTATGACTATTGAATGATAGTTTATTCGTTGATCTTTCTTTTTTTTTCTTCTCTCGACCCTTTGTGGTTAATCGGAGAAAAGGGAGAGAGAGGGAGAGTGTCTAATGATAAAATGACTCTGCATGTACAATAATATTACACTGACTCGTCTTTCTTTTTCTTCATCAGATCGTTGTATATATATATATATATATTGTATTCTCATATCCTATGCTTTCAATGTGTGGGTGCTCTCATGTTAATCACTATATACATATTAAGAGTATTCATTTTTTTTTTGTTCTCTCTTTTTTGTTATAGACGAAAGCATCTAATGGTTTAATTGTATTATAACGTCGTTCGACTGACTACTACTATCACGACTCCTATTACCATTATCATAGTGAAAATTATCATTCGAAAAAGCTCAATGCGATGACACATGTCCGATTATCATTAGTATTAAACTAGTATTCGAACGGATTAAATTTAATTTTCAAAAAGAATACATATATATATACAACAGACAAAAAAAGAAAACGCGACGATTTTTTTTCTAACTAGAATTCATTTACTATTCTTTTTTATTATTCAATGGAATGTAAACAGCAGACAGCAACGGCTGTTGCTGCTGTCCGGCAATCTGCACTTGCTGGTCTTCTTTTTTCTATTGTGATGGTTTTACTTATCGGTAAGTGTGTCTAAACATATATATATATATCGATCTCGCTATATACACATTCATTTAATAAGTTTTCTTTCAAAATAGAATTAAAAAAAATAGAGAAAGACCTTGAGGCAAGATATACACAGCTGGATGCATCTTATTCTTGATTCATGTTCATTAAAACCAAATGACACTTCTCTTCTCTTTTTTCCAATTAATAATTCTAAGATGAACGAAGAAACACGTTTATATATATATATTTTATGATTAATATATATCTGTACGACTGATCGATTTTCATCGATCATTGTACGTTATACATATAAGCAATATGTCACTTTTCTCGGCTTTCTCACGGGAGCATATGTCATTGACAATATATATAGTTCATGTAGATGAAAAGAAATTAGCCGTAGTTGAACTTTTGCTTTTATATTACATCACAAATTTGACAGCAGACAGACAGACAGAGACCTTGTAGGTTCAAGTGTTCATTTTCATACTTTTTCTTTTTCTTTTTAAGTTGATGGTACATTAGCTAGTACTGAAGCAGAGATTATTTCAACACAAGATGAAATTATAACTTATATTAATCATACAGCTAAATTATCATGTATTATACAAAATAAAAATCGACATCATGTAAATATTTGAAAAAAAAAACAAAAAGAATCTTAAAAACAGAAATAATATTTTTTTTTAATCTTTTTTTAGATCACATGGTCTCGTATTACATTTATAAATGAAACACAAAAAATAACAAATCTTTTATTTGTTGATCTATTAAAATATACTCCATCTAGTCAATATCATTTAACACACATGATTGAACGAGATAATCGTGAATATTGGAATCTTGAAATACGTAATGTTCATTTATCTGATCAAGGTTATTATAGTTGTGTATTAACAGCAATTAAGCCAATATCAAAAATATTCCATGTCAAGGTTCTCGGTATGTATCACACTTCATAAGATCACGATAATAGAAAAATGACAATAAAGTTGATGATAGTAATTCTCATTCTCCAGAGATTTTAATTCACACATTTCTATGGAAGAGGCATTTTTTTGTTTCTTTTGTACTTATTCTGACTTTAATGATCATCTATATTCCGGACTGATGTCAATGAAAATCTTATTATAGAAGTATCCGACATTTTTTTTCTTTGTTTTTTTTTTTAAAGAAAATACACGCAATCCTTTACTTGCATTACGTTCAACATCAGATGCATATACAAATAATTTACAACGACGATCAAAAGAAGAAATTTTCTCATCACTATCATTATTTTCATCATCGATATTAACAATTTTTTTAATGAACATTATATTAATCATAATTTGATTTTTTTATTATTATGCTGTTGTTGTTTTTTTTATCTCCCTTTGATTGAATGAATTGTTTGATTGTGTGTGTGTGAATTTTGGAGAATATTTTTATTCTTATCCTCTGTCGATTTATTGAAAGAAAAAGAAGAAGTCTAACAGTGATGTATCTTGTCTTTTTTTCTGAATAATAATAATAATAATAATTTAACAAGCCGGAAAAACAAAAAAAAACAGAACCTAATTGTTGTAAAATGAATGATGAGATGTGAGACATTTTATTGTATCTATTTTAGTCTATAAATAAACTGGTGAGATATGAATTAAATTATTAAAGGTTGCTATTGACTCAATTTGTTAAAAATGAATTATGCAAATGTTATACAATTGTTCAATATAAAACGATGATATAATGTCTATATTTGAAATGAATATGTAAGTAAAAGTCATTGTGAATGTATAGATTACATGAAAGTTAAAATCTATTTTCTGGTTAATAAAAAATGAAAACTACTTTTGTTTTTATATGTTAGTGATATTTTTTGGTCAATATAGTTTTAATATGATGTTTTATGAACAATTTAGAATGATCAATTGAATTAATAAAAAAATCAATGTCGATTCACATTTTTTTTAGATGAAATTTATATTTAATGATAATTTTAAAAAAATTAGTTTTTCTGATGATTGTAATCGATTTCTCATTCATTCAAGACAATGATTCATATTTTCAATATTAGACTGTTAACTTTCGTTCAAAAGTACAAGTTTAGGTTTTTAATTTTAAAACAATGGAATCAGATTGAAAAATGATATTTTTTGCATAATAGTTGAACCCATATTGAGTTGTAACGAAACTTTTGTAGTAAGGATTCCATAGTGTTCATAATGCTGATGGAAGCTATACAAAACATTCATCTACGTTTGACATAGATGGTCAGAACACTTATCTATACATTTTCTTTGTTCGATGAAAAATGAAAATGTCAAATCGAATTATTTGTTTTTAAAAACTATCTCAAATAACTTCAAAATTGATTATCTTACAATCGTGGTGTTTGTGTTGTAAGTTACTAAGATTAGACATATTCCGATCAAATTAAAACTCTCATCACCAAACTGACAAATCTAAAATATAGGCTGCTGTTGACGCGTCCAGATCGAGATATTCAAATTTCAAGATATTTCTCGGCATCAAGATACTTTTTCATGGTCCGACCCGACTTAGAATGACACCATTAAAAGTATATTTCTTTCAAAAAAAAGATTTCTAAACGACGGAATTCCACAATTACTGCAGTTATTTATTAGAACATTGTAAAAAAGTTTCTTATTAAAGTGATCACGAATTGAACAAGGTCAGACAATTTTAATGTGTGAAAAAATAGCATGAGAGATAGGTCGAGTTATTTATTGAACCGAAAGACCAAGATGAATTCGTGAGTACTGCAACTACTTGATGACTATCGTTTATTACTATAAGCTTTCACGAGTGAAATACCCGCTGATCAATTTCAAAGAGTCAGATCAGTTACTATTTTTTAGTCATATTGTTAATTTTATTATATAGTCAACACTGTTCCACTTCAGCAACACTCATGCCACTTAATGAAATTGATAATGTACTCGGCCTTGTATGTCGATGAAGAACGTCCTTCAACTGAATAAATGTTCTGCTTTTATTTATTGGCTAAATGAAACTTCTGAAACGTTTTTCATAATAAAGATTTCTGATTGTTACTAGTTGCAAGCTACAAAATCCAACTAAGAAATTTTGACGAATTCTGATTTTTTTTTCTTTAAAGATAGATTTCGATTGATTTTAGCCTTTTTTTTGATCGATTAATAAATTTTTATCGATTAAAACTAGGAAATCTTCCTTAAAAAAAAGAAATAAAGTTCGGACCGACTGACTCATTTCTAGCCTTGGTATTTGTAGTGTATATAACCTACTCACAAATCAAAATTTTCAACAGAATTCATTTTTTTTCATCACATTTGGATAGAACTCGTCGACTTGCATAAGAAAAAGTACGTTTCAAATTTCAAAAAAAATCTCTTATATGAAAGTTCAAGATACCGCTATTTTTAAATCTAAGGAAAAATAGATCGCAAATTCTGATTTTTGTAAAACACTTTTTGAAATTCGAAACAGACGTTTTCTAATACAAGTCGACAAGCTCTATTCAACTATGACAAAACACACTCTGCTGAAATTTTGATTGAACAGTACATTACTTACATCTTAACCCTTTGAGTACTAGCGTACTTTATAAAGTACGGTTTTTTCGAGTTTCGTAATCTTTGAATAACTTGCGAATGCAAAGAGATATTGAGAAACGGTTTTCTCTATTGCATAGAGGAAGCTTCAGTGCATATATCTATATAAGAGTTATAATCCTAATGAGGTCACTCAAGTAGTAAGCCTGGTGGGTTTTTGGAACATCACCTCTGTTCTAAAAAACTTCCTCGCCATCCCCGTAGGGGGAGTGCAAGCATGGGTCGAAAATGACTCTGAAGGTTTTTTAAAAAGTTTTAATGAAAATATTCACAACACACACTGTCCATATTAAATATAAAGTCGCAAAGAAATTTCATCCATTGGCTGAGCCTGGACCTGAAAGAGTTAACCCATCTGATAAACATTGGCTTGCTTCCCAAGCACTTTTATCAAATGAACAAATTAATGCTAAAAAAATTGATGATATTTATAGATTTGTATATAAGCCACTGCTTGATAATAAGAAGTCCAAAAGAATCTTCCCTTCCGAAACTTTTAGAATCACGACGTGAAAACTGTGAGCGTGATGTAACTGTTGAGGATGTGTGAGATTCAATACAAAAAGCAAGAATTGATAAGATAATTGATAGTTTAAGAAAAAGTCGCGATGTTGTTAGAGTAAAAAGTAATAAAAGAGAAGTTTTATTTTTATACTGATAGTGATTCTAGTTTTCGTATTAATCAAGAATTTATTGATTCATGGAGAATAATATTAGTTGAACATTTCACTAAAAAGCAGATTCGCGAATTTATTGATGCAAAAAGACATTATAGTTTAACAACCAATACACCAAAACAAGCACAATTACCCACAAAGTCAGTAAAACGAGGATGTCAACGTCCTGTTACAGCGAAACATAACCAACATGTTGCTCATTAATTCAAAGATTATTCCAATTCAACAAATAAAAAATAATATGTACATTAGGTCTTTATTTGTCTTGTTATATAATTGTTTCCAACGAATATAGTAAAAACCAAAGACAAAAAGTTTTATACGCATGTCAAACATCTTACTACTTTTTTTGTTGTTCAACATAAAAAAAAAATTGTATTTGAAGTATAAAATAGAACTCTGATCAAATACATGTTGTGATAACGAAAATATGCAGACTAGTAGTAACGTTAATCTTTGAGAACAATTTTTTTGATAATCCATAATTGAAAGAAACAAACGATCTTGTACAAGTCATACATGATTGTAGTAATAATTGTTATTTTGTTGAGTGTATTATTCTAATGTCATATCCAATGAAATTAAGTAGATCTATGTGTAAAGATAAAATGCAAAATATTTCTTGTGTTATTGCAAAATGCTTATTGACTTCATCAGAATTTTAATGTTGCTCGAAATATTCAAGTCAATATCTCTGTACTGTTATCCAGTATGTCTGTTCTTGATTGAATTAATTCTAATTGAACATTGTCATTCGATAAATCACAATTTACAGAAGAGAGAGTACTAAAAAGAACATCGATGCATTCGTAGCATATCAAATATGTGCTGAAAGAAATTTCGTCATTTAAAGTTAATTTGTTGCAGTGAATTATCCTTTGTATCTAACAGGATCACCACTGTTTTCTTTTTGTAATTGACATTAGATCTGACTCTAGATTGATGTTGCGCTTAGTGAAGAATATCGATATCTATTCATTTTTAAAAATAATACTGGTTGGATTATTTGGGCTTAAGTATTGACAACCTATATTCGGAATAAAACATCCAGTTGAATTATAATATCATGAAATTATCAAAATCTCATGTTTTATGGATTTTCAGTTTACCTGAATTATTCGAACTAATCTGTCAGTGAATTTTTTATATTACTAATGAAATGTTTTTGTTTCTCATTGATAATACTCATATATATCAAAAGCCATCCATAATAATCGAAAATAAGCACATTTAAACAGACTATAACCAAGCAAAATAATAAAAAATAAATACAAGAAAATCGTCGTTAAAATTTATCAGTTCTATTCAACTGAGATACGTCAAATTTCAATAATGTTATTTCAAATAACTCTTTTACCATTTTTAATAAACTTAAACAAAATCAAATCTTTCATATAACTAAAAAAAACAACAAGTAAATGATTTAAAAAAGAAATCGATTAAACGATAAAAGACATTGAGAAAAAGGACAAAGAGAAAAAAATTCACACAAGAAAAAATATAACAAAAACAAACATTAAATCCAGAAGATCAACAACATTAACTGTCTATTTCGAATTAATATAAACATAATCCTTGATTTCATGAAAATGGTTTTTATTAATTTGATTCTAATTATCGATTTATATAAGTCTCTGCACGATTCTATAAACCATTGGTTATATCAAGTTCAATAGAGAACTTGAGTTCTTTAAAAAAAAATCTCAACTCTAACTGAAACAACAATCAGAATGCTATGGAGATAGAATAATATATAATGAAGGATCAGGTGAAGAAATATATATATAAATCAATTAAAAATTGACTTTAAATAAAGGATTCTAATGCTATAATTTATTTAAACGGTAATTTTGTGATAAGATTGTTTTAAGAATCCAATATAATTTGGCAAGAAAACAGAAATCATTAAAGCATGTGCATGTTACAATCTGTCCACATTTTCATTTCTCTTTAATTTTTAATTCAAGATTTCAGACAAGAGAAAAGTTGAGTTAAGACAATAAAAATGTCCTATACGTTCATCTCATTCACTAGAAAAAGTATATATCTATTGATTTATTTTTTGAAAGAATTTTGATTTAAATCTTTCAAAATATCAAACATCATCTGTAGCAGTTTGTGACTTCCAGTATGGGTTTAAGTGGGTCTAGTGTAGTTGCGATTGTGTAGGGGGTGACAGCGGGTGGGAATGTTGGCCGGCTTTTCATTCGCAGTCAAGACCGTAGTCATCGCCAAGGCTACAACCGCACGCACATCTCCATCCTATATCCATACGCTTCGAAATCCTCACTTTTGACATCTTGATCTTCGACATTTTATTTTTCTACATTGATAACTTTCGACATTTTTTCGTTCAACGTCCTCCTGTATGACATTTTCACTTTCGACATTTTACCACTTTTCCTTTGGAGAGAGAAAAATTTAATTGAATAATATTGTATGATGACTTGAGTCTTTTTTTTTCTCTTTCAACATTTTCATCTTTAGATTATAAATCTGAGAAAAGAGAAGAACGATTTATTGCTATTTGATCAGTATGCCTAAGCATTTCTATTAGTGACGAACATAAAGATTTATTTATCATATTTTGACATATATCAATCATGCACGATCTCTCGTTAGCAAATAATAAACATTTGTGACAAACAGTTTCTCCGTATGTCATATTTCAAATTATGTTTACGCACAATTAACTACTGTAATTCCTCCTCTATTAAATATTACAGTTATAACTATTAAAAACATGGTATTGGAAAATCTCAAGTAATATTTACGAGTTTTTACATACAAAAAAGTGTAATGTTTGTAATACGATATACAAAAAAATTGATTTGAAAAATAATTTGTCTAGATATAAAATAAGATTCATTGAAATAAATAATTATTCCTCAAATTAATTTCAAAATCTGTCGGATAAATGCATCAATATATCTAAATCTTTGTTTTTCGATGAAACAGAAAAAAAAAGAAAACTCTTACGAATACATATTACAAGTTCACTCAATATTAATATTAAAAATATAGTTAAATGTCTTTCTATTTTAAATTAAATATATCAACTTTAAAAAAGAAAAATCTAATAAGCAATCGATTTTATTGTAAATTTGTAAAAATTCTCATGTCTTCAACTATAAGAAGAGAATCTGATTTGAATTTGACAAGCAGTTTATATACGCAATCATAGTTAGATTTTCTTTTATTCTGCTTTATCAACTCTCTCTTTCTCTTCTTTTTTTTTTGTTCATCTTCATCTCGTCTAGTAAACCAACATTGAGCTAATGGATTACAAAAATCTATGCGTATGCATTAGTATCGACAATAGCAAATATTAATGTTTGTTGCGCTCTCGTATATACACTATTTTCATTTATTCACTTTTCTCGCTTGTATTCATCTTTAATCCTAACGACACAAGAGCAACACAAAAAAAGACGGACGAATCGAAGGAAAAGAAAATCTATCGATCCTAAATTAACATGATATTTGTTTTTTATTTTCATTATCATTTGCAAGTAAGAAACAGTGAATTTGTTCTCTTTCGATTAGAATTGATTTCTTTCTCTAAAACATACTAACTTTCAGATAAAAGAATATATATGAGACGAATGTAGAACTTTAGTTTTTTTTTCTTCTTCTTTTTTTTTTACATAAAACATTCTTTAAAGATACTAATCAAATGGGAATAAATGTTCATTTTTACGATAAGATGTTGCGTGCATATGTAAGCTTGATCTAAGACAAATCGTAGAGCATATATAACAGTCGTATATGATACAATGTACCATAGTTCATTATAACAGAGGCAGTATGAGAAAAGACAAGACTATATATTTGCTATAATAATCAGAAAGTTTCAACTTTATCCAGTACAAACACTAGAAAAATTTTTGAAATTTTGTCTTAAATCGTTAAAACCTCTTCTTATATTTCCGTTCTCCCAATCAGCAGTCCTCCATATGATATCTGTATAAGCTTATAATCGTATTTATATATATATTTCTAAAACGATTATTAGCTCTTGTGATATCGAATTATTAGGAAAAATATCGATTAAACATTTAAAGGAAAAGCAAGTCGTATCAAGCCATGGATATGTCTTTTTAATTCGTTTCTCTTTGGGAAGAAAGTAATATAGTTAATAAATAATTCTCAGTGTTTTGTTTGAATTTACTTATTTCAATGATTAAAATATAAATTCCATAAGAAAATATTTTGAATCGAAGTCATTTTAAAAAAATCAAGAACTATCATCAATAATTTTCTCTTCAACAATCATAATAAAGTATCTCGTTCTCATTTCTATTTGTACGATATGAAAAAGGAAACTTTCAATTCACAAAATAGTTTTGCAATATGTATATTATCCAAAAGTTATTTTTTAGATAACATAGAAATCATTCATAAACTGTCATATCGTACGTTTATTCACACTATCGATGGAATATCAAGCAACTATAAAATTATAGATAGTATTCTAAATCAAATTTTGATGTTTCTAATAACAAAACTTTTTTTTACTATTCTTTCAAAAAAATTACATATTATTATGTATGATCTTACTGATGTGTAATACATAAATTTTCATGCTTTTAAATTGAATATAATAACGTAATTTTCTTCTCTATTTGAATATATTCATTCTATAGAAAACAATTTTATTGAAATAATCTAATTCATAACAATCAAAGTATAACAAAATCTGTGTCAAGAAAATAGCCTTTGAATTCTTTTGGAAGTTCAGAAATATCTTAACCACAGTAATCATTTATTTTTGAACAATTAATCCGTGTTGCATCTCTTGTAAAATTATGTGTCACTTTTTTCAATGGTTGATAATCAGTATACAGATAAACATCATTTGGTAAATATGTTCTGGTATGAAGTAAAAATTGTTCAAGATAATCTTCGTGGGTCTTAGTAAGATGAAGATCAATAAAATGAAAATATTTAATGATTGGTAAATCTTCATTTTCATTTTTTGATTTTCTAAATCGTTTATTATTTTGTTCTTTCTAATTAGTTAAAGTTAATTTTTTCAATAATGGAAATTATTGAGCTATTTGAAGAAAAAACTCATATTCAAGAGAATGTTCATCAAATAATGATATTTCACGAATATTTTTAAATAATCCACCTGGAAAATTATTTGTTATATTATCATAATATTTTAATTTATATGAATATGAATAAATGTGACATTGGCTATATTTACTTTCTTCAAAATAATCAATACAAGATATAATTTCATTATCTGTATAATCTTTGAATGTATGTTGCATATCTTCATTTGATGGTTGATCAATTTGGTTTTGATAAAGAATGAATAAGCGAATATTAAATGTAAATTCATTTAATCGTGGCATATGATTGATAATATTTATCTTCAAATCATTACCATCAACAAGTGTGTTTCTTTCACAAACAATAAGACACAAATCAAATTTTTCTAAATTCGACATTCGATGTAAAAGTTGTGTAATAGATTCATCATAAACATATGTTTCCTTATTACAATACAGCGAAAAATATTTTAAATTAAACAATTTTTCCTAGAAAACCAATATTATTAATTTATTTCAATAAATTAAATATTATTTAAAAATAATCTACCTTATTATTGATTGTGAGATCCGAAGAGCAAATGAGAGAAATATTAACATAAAGTGTATGAAGCTGATTGAAACGATCATCAAGTAAATAAAGACAATCACTAAAACTATGCAAACAGACATATAATTCTAACGAAGTTGAAGAGATAATAGGTGCAGGAGATGCAATGTAAAATAATAATCGTTGATTCCAATTTGAAGATGGAACAAAATTTAAATCACAGAAATTGCTGAACGTAGTAAAGATATGTGCAAATACAAGTTCTTTGACATTTTCTGTTATATGTTATTTTTCATCTTTCCGAATATCGATAACAAGTGATGTAATCTGATTTTTTGAATATATGCATTAAAGAAGTTTCGTCTAAATATAAATACAAAAATATTAAGAAATCTAATCATTTGTAATATTGATCAAATTGTAGCATTGTTCTTTTTAATTTTTTTCAATTAGATCTATAACATATATATTTATTCTTCTTCTAAATATTACTGTCGTTTATTTAATGTCACTAAACATGTTGTTGTAGCTCAATTATTCATATATATCATTCCTATTTATTCTGATATTTCTTTATTTACAAGATTATATTTAAAATTTTCAAATAATCACATTAAAAAGAGATCCTTTTAAAAAGACTAATGTCTCATATAAATGTTCATATTCATTACCAATGAATATCTTTAATAAGAATTTCATTCATATTCATAATTTATGTCTGAGTATAAATTATATATAAAACTAACTTATCATGAATAGAATATTCAACAAACTACTTAAATATATGATAAAACAAGTTGTATTGCTTATTTATATACTACTCATGTATTCAGTAGTTGATGAGGAATAAAATAAACTATCTTACCAGTAACAAAATATTTAACTTTTTCTATTTGTAAATCGTATAAACCAAGTCCATATAAATTAGGATAATTTGTAGCAAGTAAAATACGTTCCATAGATAATAATTCAAGATTAAGCCATTTGATTTTATGATGAATTTCAGGTAAAATTTGTAAACAAAATTGATCAACCATCGGATCAGGTAATGGATAGATGGAATCATCCAAGAAGTGTTTCATCAACGTTAAATAACTCGTAAAAACTAAATCATGCACAACTATATTGAGTCGATCACTAACACCTATTAGAGAGTAGATTATCTCGACATTGAATAGTTTTTTCAAAATAATTATAAGAATTTTATCAGGTAAATCATTCAAATGAATAAATGAATATTCAATGTTTATATTCACTTATCTATTCTTTTTAATTCATAAATGTCAATACTTATATATATCTGCTTATTTATTCTATTTGATCGATGTCATCAATGAAAACAATGATGTACTTTTTTGTAGTCGAAGTCCACAACGGATCAAAAAATTGATGAAAGAATGCGGTTATTTCTCTCTTTATTCTAGTTCAACATATCTGATGTTTATCCTGATAACAAGAGAATTATATTTAAGTCAACTCGACAACCTTTGTTTTAATTTTTCATATCAATGGAGATTTATGTAAAAGTATTAGTTTTTATATTGTTTCTTGTTCGTTTCTTTTCTTTTTAAAACAAAAAAAAAAAATGAAACATTTTTTAAATAAATTGGATATAAACAAGTATGGTTTTCTTTTCTAGGAATATTAATAACAACATTTTATTTTTCATTGGATCACATTTAAGGATTATGAAATCTTGTTAGAGTTTGTGGTAGTTAAACATCAAATATTGAGTAAATTTGAATATTCTGTAACCTTGTATTGACTACCTATGGAAGCGTTCATCAAAAACATGATTCGTTAGAATTTTGTCGTTGGTAGTATGTTTTAAATTTGTTAGCTTAGTAATGAGAGCTTTAATTTAACACCTTATTAACTTACAATATAAACATCTTCATTGTTTAGTATCGTAAAGGTACATGAAACATATTGTTAAGGAATTTTCATATTACAACGTGATTATCAGCACTATTTGTTATATTTCGAAAAAGAAACTCTTATATATTAGTTAAAATTGACGTATTGTTTTGGATACATATGATCTTATCAATGATTAATGAAATTGAAAAATTGTTAAAACTATGATACATGAAATAGAAATCTTGATGGCTTTTGAAAATAGGACGATTCAATTTATTTATAAAAGAATATATTTTTAACACGGTTCTTCATGTGTAAATTTCTATTTTTACTTTTGTTTTAAAAGCAAATGTGTAGTTCTCATATAACAGTGAAGTACATACGAGAAAAGCAATAATGAATGCAAGTTTTATAACAATCAAAGATAATCATATCATATAATTGTTTAAATCAATTAAAAATTAAATCATATAAAAACAGAATGTATTCACAATGTGAACATTTCAAAAACTAATGATATATTAATTTTGACACAAATTTATAATATAATAATACTAATTACATCTTATGTTCTATGTCATTCTTTGTATTAAAAAAATGAAAGATTTTTATTTTGAATATATACTGAACATAGACAGAGTCGAATAAGAATTAATTGAAAATACTCGATGATAATATAACAAAGGATTTAATGATGTTTTTATTTTAGTAAAAAATCAAGCGCTCGAATTGTTTTATTATTGAAATATTCATTTTGAAAATTAGTTACCAACTGTTGATCTTATCATTGATGATTTGTAGTCATAAATAAAAACGAGAACATGCCTGTTTAGATAAATGTTTTATTCTTTTTTTTAAAATTTCATGATTCAACTATTATGTTCACATCATTTTTATTGAATTGAACTTACCCATTATTTATTGAACAAAATTAAACTTGAGAATATATTAATTATTGTATTTTTCATTTCGAATAATTAGAATTATACAATAAGAAAAAAATAGACAAAATCTTACCGTTTTGTTATCAATAAGAAAGAACGAAGAATGATCTATTATTGCATGTACATAACAAAATAATATTTTTTTCATGCTTATCTTGATGATCTATTTCCTCTCCATAGAGATATTTAACTCATTTTATTTAATTTATTCTTTTATCATAACAATTAACATGTCATTTTCATTGGAGTTTGATTACGTCATAATATAACGATTATTTGTTAGAAGTTTACAAAGATAAACATTTCTTGTAATTATCAAAACGCATACAAAACAAATTTAGCTGTTACAGTATATACAGATATCTTTTTCAGTACACGGATAATTAAATATGTGCTATTTGTTCTGATTACAAGGATAGAACAAAAAAAAAAGAATATTTAAAGTAGCATGGACATCACTTATGAGCCTAAAAGGCTGACATATATTTTTACTCAAGTGGATGTACCTTAATCTTTTTATAATTACTTATCATGCTTAATCCATCTTTTGCACTTTGAAAAAAAAAGAAAAAGTAATCTCTCACATTCGAAACAATTTTTTTAGAAAAAAGCAAACGAAGTGTAGTTAATCAAATATTTCAATATGGATAATTAACAATGACATAAAAGAACTTTTTTTTCTAAATCTGATCTTTATTAAATAAATTTTTTTTCCTATTCAAAAAAGACATAATATTTTGATCGTCATATTCATTGGTGAAAATATCGAATTGATTAGACTACCTTATAGAAAGAACGTACATTTCCCTCCAGACAACTGTTTGGTCTTGCTGCTGATAAAAATCAATATAATATATATTCTTCAATACGATACGCTGAACAGTATGCTTGCTTCAACTAGATTAGATCAATTCATGTACATTCATACAGTAGGATGTCATGTAATCTTATCAAAACATATATATTTTTTAATATACATATTGAACAAGCTACTCATGCTTGTCAATATAAATATTTGAAAGAGAATCGATAGAAAAAAAAATTTTCTTTTTTTATTATTCTGAATTTTACTACAAAGAAAAAAAATTGAATTTTTCATATACATCAAAAAAAAAAATCTATATTTGCATAACTTATGAAATAGTAATTATATAAACAATTGATAGAAGACATTCGATCGATTTAATCGTTTGAAATTATTATTAGAAAATGATCAAAAGATTATTCATTTATTTTAATATTCAAATCCGCTTAGAAATATAAAAGTAAAAAAAAAAACAAAAAGCAAAATTTAAATTTTATTTTTCATTATTTATGCTAATTTATTTCAATTAAAAAACAATAAGAGTATTATTATGTATCTATGTGTTTAATATTAACATGATGTTCCTAAATTCGTCTGGAAATAATCCTATAAGAATATTCTTAATAATCAACAAGAACATCATCGACGATGTTCTATAGCAATACATCGTCATCCCGTCTTTCTGTGTTATTTCTTGTATGGCCATTTTGTTCATCAGATCCTTCGCTTTTTGCCAAAATTGCCTTCGCATTTGAACGAGTTTGAAAATTGCAAAATAGCCATTCGATAGAAGACACTTTTCTCTATTAAATCATATATAATTTAGGAAAAAATTTTTTTTTAGTCTCAATAAAATAATTAAATTCTTTGCAAATATTCACTAAATCTCATCTTGTTCATCGTATTTTTATGTATTTTTTTCTATGTTTTTATTAGAAAAATTTCATGAAAATTATATCATTCGATAGAAAAATGTCTTGTCTATAATATTCAATAAAAAATTCTTTCTTATACAATTAAATTTTATGAAAATATTCGTCATTTTTTAAAGAAGGTTTGAACAATCTTATGATAGTTCGAGTAACAAAAGGTATCCTATGTGCGGTTCGAGTCGAATCGGGAGAAGGAAGGAGAGGAAAAAAAAGGCAACGACGACGGCGACGACGCATATACACCACCAACATTACCACCATCATTCTCATTCATTCTATCGACATCGCCCTATCGTGCGCGCACACAAACACAAGTTTTTTTTTCTGCTTCATATTCACTTCATCTTTTTTTTTGAAAGAAGAAATCTTCGAAACAAAAAAAAAAAAAAATTTTCAAAACAATGTCTGATCTTACAAGTGGTTCAACAGCTCTTAATACATCACAAAGTGCAACAGGTAATTCTGGTGCTAATACCAAAGGCAAGAAAACAAAATCAAATACGGCTGGTTCATCAACAAATAGAAATAAAAAATCAAAAGGTCCAAGTAGTCATCCAAAATATTCGGTTATGATTAAAAAAGCATTAACAGAATTAAATGATCGTAATGGTACATCAAGAGTAGCTCTATTAAAATATATTTTAACCAATTTTAAAGTTAATCCATCAACAGCTAATCAACATCTTAAATCAGCATTACGAGCTGGTACAAAAAATAATACATTAAAACAAACAAAAGGTATTGGTGCTAGTGGAAGTTTTAAATTAGCTACGGCAACAAAAAAACCTTCATCAACAGCTGGCAAGAAAAAGAAAACAACAACAACAACAACAAAATCAACATCAACAAAATCACGTAGTCGATCAAAAACACCAGGTGGAAGTAAAAAAACAGGTCAAACTAAAACAAAAAAAGCACGATCATCAAGTAAAGCTAAATCAACTGATGCAGCTAAAAAACGACAACGTTCAGCATCACCAACTAAAAAAGCATCAACAAAGAAAGCTACTAATGTTAATACAACTGCAACAACATCGGCTGTTACTGCAACCAAGACAAAGGCTAGTACAGCTGCTACAAGACCTACATCAGGTTAGTTGATTAGGAAACAAAAAATAAAAAGAAAATTTTTAATTAATTATTTTTTTGTTTAGCTCGTACAGCTAAACCTATAACAAAAGCATCAACTAAACCAAAGGCTGCAGGTAGTGCTAAAGCTAAAAGTCCAAAGAAGAAAGCAGCATCACCAAAGAAGAAAGCTGCTGGTGCATCAAAAGCAATAGCTAGTACATCAAGACGATCTGCTAAATCATCAACAGCAACATCTGCTGCATCAACAGCACCTGCAACTGCTGCTGCAAATACGTCTAGCAATACTGCAACAAAATCATCACGTAAGAGTGCAACAACAAAGAAGACAAGAAGTCCAAAAAAAACTGCAGCAAGCAAGAAATAAATGAAATCTTATAAGAATACATGTATATAATTTACTATAACATCTATTTTTTCGTGTGTGTGTATCCTGTAGACATATCTTCTTTCTATATCTCATCATTCATTGCAGATAATATACTCCTTATTTGCGTCTTCTATTCTTTCTTGATGTTGTTTTGTTTATTTCTTTTGTTTTGTATGTAAGGCGTATTATGAACGCCGAGACTACTTTTTTTTGCTATATATTACTATTACTATAACTATAGTCGTGTGTTATCCTTACTTTCTTTTTTTTTTTGCTGCTTCTATATGTGTGTGTGTATATATATATAGACGTACATTCTTTTGCCTGTCTCGCCGCTGTTCGAGATCAATAAAAAAAATGAACAAAAAAGAAAAAGACATTTTACTTTATACTTGATTAATCACAATAGAAAAGTTGGTTAAACGATATGAGATTGTGAGAAAAAAAAAGTCTGCAGAAGAAATATGATAACAAATGCTCAAGTAATTCTTTTATGCATCGTCTCACACAAACATATCAATAAATAAAGCACACAAATTTGGCTACGTGTAATAGATGAATTGAAAGAACAAGAGCTCATCACTTTTGATATTTTATCGTTCGAATTCAAACCGAATGAACGAAAGAGAAGGTCAAAGATATTTCATTTTTGTCTTTTTTTTATCAAACAAAATTTTGCGAGAATATCTAAACATACGATCGAATGAATAACAAAAAAAAAGAGAGAAGTAAATCGAAAGACAAAAAAATGCAAGAATGTGAACATAAGCTTGAATAAATACGTGCGCACAAACCTTGTGTTTAACGTTGTCGTTAAATATTCATTTTGAAAAGCTTCTTTTTTTTTTATATTATTATTATCATTCGAATTTAATGTTGAATCAACTAATAAACGTTCTCTTTTAGTTGTAAGAATTAAAATTCAATGATTTTGCTTTCTCTCTTTTTTATTTGCACATATTTTCCAGTGTTATGTTCTTTCATTTGATAAATATCTTTATTTCATGTCTATTGATATACAGTTAAATGTTCAACTAATCGATTAATTGTCATCGATGCAAAACAACAATCATTATTCATCAATATGCAAAACATTTGAATTTATATATAATTCGAATTTAAGTTTATTCTTGCTTGCTGCGATTTTTTATTCTAATTGCTGTCTGAAATATATAATCAACGATGGTAACAATTAGAAATATCGAAATAAAATCAAACAGAGGGCGTGTAGAGTAAATACAATAGTCAAAAATAGTCTTGAAGAAATTTTTGAGACTATCATAAAACATTCATACTAGTTCAAGATAGTATCATAATGAGAGATAAAAATATTTTAATAAAAAGATCGATTTTTTTTTCAACAAACAAATCAATTAGATGAAAATCTTTATTATTTTTTCAAGTTACTTCTAATATGAAGATAAAAACTAAAATGATAATATATTGTTTTACAAGATGTGTTTGTTTTGCGATTTTTATATTTGAAATAAGCATCATTAGCCAGAAACAAGAAACAAAAAGAAAAGAAAAACAAAAGGCAGACTCTTTTCGATTTTTTTTCCTCTCATTTCACAAATATCGCAAGTATATAAGAAGAAGAAGAAGCAAATAACGAAAAATAATAGAACAAAAAGAAGAAGAAGAGTTTCAGCCTAGCCGAGCAAAGTAAAGTGAACAAATTTTGAGTTTGCCCATAAACAAAAGAACAAAAAAAAAAGCTAATAGTAATGAACAGGAGAACGTAAAATAGAATCACTGTTGTACAAATATATGTAAATAAGAATATTATTTTGTTTTTGGTTTTCTAGGAATGAAATATAGCAAATAATTAAACGCTTATAGGTAACAAAAGAATGAAAGATGTTATCGTTGCCTAATGCTTGAAACAAAAAAAAAATATATGTACATTGAATAAATATAGTTTAACGTTTGTTTGTGTATATATATATATATATATAGTCTCGAAAGAAGATGACATCTCTCATTTCATATAAAGAGATTTATCTGATCGAACAATGAGAGAAATTATAGCGAAAAAGAAAGAGAAAAGAAACGAATTGAATGAAATAAGAAAAATTTAAATTCTCAATTTAACAACACCCGATATAAGTTGACTGTTATTATCATCTGTTGTTGAATTATTTTTAGTTGCTGATGTTGTTGTTGATGATGATGATGATGGATTATTTGCTTTTGAAATATGTTCACGCATTGTTCGAATAAATTCATCACTAAAACCTGGATAACGTATTTGAGCATTTTCAAATATACGACGTAAATGTTGAAATAATTCAACACCATTTTGAGTATTACGTGTTATACCATTAGATGAATTATTATTCGTTATTGTTGTTGTTGGAATATTAAAGCGAATAGAAAGCTATAAGAAATAAAAAAGAATATTTTTATTAAAAATAGAATAACAAAAACAAAAAAAACATAAGAAAAACTTTTATTTAATTTACATCATCAAATATTGATTTAAATAATGGATTTAATTCGATTGATTCAGCAGACTAAAAAGATTAAAAAAAAAGGTTAATTCAATTAATGAAATATATTAAAATATATTTTTTCAATGGATATCCAAAATCATATTTTACTATTTATATTTAAACAATTTTTATAATATAAAACAGTGCATATTATTATAGGAAATACGTTCGAGTTCATTCGAAAGATTTATTCAATTAGAAAATTCATCATTTTCAATATAACTTCTATATATTTAAATTTGTACTAAGTATTAACTCGAAAATAGAGATCAAATGGTTAATATATTAATAATCGAAGAATCCTCTGTTTAAAAATCTAAGTTCAGCCAAGACTTTTGATATCAATCTCCGTAGTCTTTTTTCTATTGGTTCTGATAAGTTTTTTCTCGTGGTCTCGTACATCTCTAAATCTAAGCATTTGAAGAAGTTAATAACAATGTAGATGATTTAGAATAATTCTGTAGGGAGACATAGAAAAACTTTTCTATTATTATTCTGTTGAATTCCTTTGTTTCTTTCTTATGAGGCATTCAAAACCTAATAGCTTCAATATTTTACAATATACTGCATTTTTATATATTTTTCATTTTGTAGATAAAGGTTTTGCTCAATATTTTTTCTTTTGTGAAATTCATTTGATTTTGTTTCTAAATTATATATGATTTCATGAAAATGAAAGAATACAATAAAATAGCATCAATTCACATTTATGGTCTCAAAAGTACTACTAAAAACTACATTTAGAGATTTCAATTAATAAGAATAATATATTTTCTACTGAGTGACATTACGATTAATCAATCGTCTATTCTGAACGAGCGTTCGTTAATTAATACAGCTATAAAATATTAAATTTTGTCTTTATTAATTTAAAAATGATACTAAAAAAAAAATTATAATTTTATTTCATTGTCATGACTCTGATTAGTGAAATCAATCTTTGCTTTTTTTTTCTTATATGTAATTATTTATTCTAAAATCATCAAAATAACCATTTCTCTCTAACAAATACCGAGTTTAATCCTTTACCCTATGGAACTAATCCACTAGAGTTGATGTTGAGTAAACCATAGGAATAGCTTATATAGATGCTGATTATAACACTGATATAGTTAAATTTGGGCGAAATCATTTCACTGGGGAAATGCAGAATGGGCCATAAATGAACCATTCGTCTTGAACGGCATAAAAATTGCATTTATTGTTAATTTGATTTTTTTACGGCTTTCTGCAGTTATGCCTTTATTTTATCTGTATAATGCTGGAAGCATACTTGTCATAAATGATTTTTTGAAAAATAATTCATTTCGAAGAATGATATACGGTTAGACATTTGCAAAAGTCCTATTTTCGAATTGGGATCAGATCTTTCGTTTCCAGAATTGTGGTGATATGGTTAATTTTGATGTTCTTTTTATAACATGAAATCGTTGGTTCTGATTCCGATTCGATATTCACTTATTCCTATTGTTAAGATCTCGTCTAGATAGAAGAGCACAACAAGTGACAGGCTTCTATCGCTTATAAATAAGAAATTATTTAAAAACGACTGTGTAATGTTTTTTTTTTTGACTGACTATTAGCTCTAATAAAGTTGTTAGCATGAAGATAGCGTTATTTATAAGTTTATATCGAAAATAAAACAATTTTAGAAAAAAGAACATTTTTCATGTTACTCATTACAAATGAGTCAAATATGACTCAAGTTCCCATGAAAACTGCTGTTTTTATATCTATAATCAAGAAATTTCTAAAAACTACTCTACAAATAGATTATGTCCGTAATAGTATAAACATCAACATCAGACTAATCAGTTGCTGTAAGTAAATAAACGATAAAAAAACCATCATTTCTCAAAAGACTCCACATAATATTTGGCAACTGTTTCGATCCAATGCTTTATTCCCGCTAAGATGATAATTTCTATGAATCAAATATGATCGAACATGGTAGCGACGTGCAACCAGGAGATTATGGTATAGTATGGTAATGCTCTACAATCTTGGGAAGAAATCCATGCAATGGAATGTCAATGATGGTAATTATTACATTTTTCTTTCTTCTGGTAGTAGAGCGGCGCCCGACATAGTTCGTCCTTGGTTACGCCATCACAACAGTAGTAACTAAAGGATTAATCTTTCTCTCTGTTTGTACATAACATCAATCACTCAAGTCAAGAATTTTGTTCATAAACAAAACTTTTGAATTCAATAGCTGATTATGATCTATTTCTCATTACTAATATCCATTTAAAAACAAAAGGCGAGTAGCTATTTTTTTGCATAACTTTTAATAGAAACAAGATAGAGCGCTGTGGTTTTCATCATTAGAAAGAGAAGATGAAGTTACATCGAATAATATATGAATCCTGAATAACTAAATCTAAAAATCTCAGGCTTACATAGTTTTGTAGATTTTCTATTAGCGGTTCGAATGCACATCTGATCATTGAAAATTCGATCGAAAGCAAATATATGATTCGATGTATCTTCATCTCCTTTGTCTACATGTAAAAATCGCAACTTTCTATCTTATTTCTATCGAAAGTTATTTAAAAAATTCTTATCCACCTTTTTTTGGAAATGAGCATAAATATTTTCTGAAAACAAAACTTTTTACCGAATAAATTCCATTTGCTGATGATAATCTAACTGTATCGTCACCTTCAAATTTCCATCGAAATGTTTTATCCTTTGGTCTAAATAAAATTTATATTTTTAATTATTTATTTTACAATTATTAAAACAAAATTAAATGATCTTTACTCGTCTTCTTCTGAACCTGATCCACTATCGGATCCTGCACCATTTTTATGACTTTCTTTCCATCGTCTATAACGTTCAATTAATTCAACTAAAAATCTAGTTGATTTATTTAATGATACAAATTTTAATCGACGTAATTGTTGAGCTGTTGGTCTCTAATATATAAAACAATAATGAACATATCATAGAAATTTTCTTTCTTTCTTTATTTAACATACATGTTCAGGATTTTTTTGTAAACAAGCTTCAACAAATTCACGAAAAAATTTCGAATAATTTCCAACTAATTGTGGTGGTGGATTTTTTGGAATTTGTAATAAAACTCTCATTGGATGTAAATCTGAATATGGTGGTTCACCTTTTGCTAATTCAATTGCTGTTATACCAAGTGACCAAATATCTGCCTAGAAAAACAACAAAAAAACAAATTTTCAAAAACAAAAACAAAAAACAAAACTTCGTTATTATTTCTTACTGAATAATCATATTTATGTTGCATAATAACTTCCGGTGACATCCAAAATGGTGTACCAACGAAAGTATTTCCTTTATTAATTGAATCAGTTAATTGTTTGGCAACACCAAAATCAGCTAATTTAACATCACCATTTTCTGATAAAAGAACATTGGCAGCTTTAATATCACGATGTATTTTTTTTTCCGAATGTAAATATTCAAGACCTTTAAGTACTTCACGTAAAATTATAGCTATATACTGTTCATCAAATGGACCCGGTTTCATTAAATCAAGTGCTGAACCACCACCGAGATATTCCATAACAATCCATAATTTAGTTCCCTTTATATAAGAAGAATTTATTTCAAAAAAGAAAATTCTTTATAGGTTTTTTTTGTTTTTTTTACTTTTAAATAAGAACCAAAATATTTTGTTATATATGGTGAATTACACTGAGAAAGTACTTGAATTTCTTGTTGAATATCTTCAATTTCATCTTCAGCTTTTTCCAAATCGATTATTTTTATTGCAACAACATTAGATGACTTTTTATTTATACCTTTATAAACTTCCTATAAAATAAATAAATAAATAAGTAAATAAATAAAAATAGAATAAAATTACTCCAAATGATCCTCGACCAATATGATCATGTCGTTCGAATATTTCTTCCGGATCAACTTTACCCTAATAAAAAAAAAATAATAATAATAAAGATTTCGTTGTTATTGTTATTGTTGTTTTTCTTCTTCTCATACGAATATACCTGTTGTTGAGTGATATGTGAAGCGACAATCATCGACAGTCTATATATACATGGTTATATATTAAGTTTATATTTATGTTTTTTTTTCTTTTTACGTACATTTATTTTTTTATTATTTGTTAAAATATAAAGTACAAATGTTGTTCCGCATAGACACACGAACGCTTATCTTTTACTCGTCGTTATACAGGATTTTGGATGTGTGCATTGAGTGAGTGAGAGAGAGACAGAGAAATAAATATACAAAGCCAAGCACACCTTCGTTTGTTCGTTCTTCGATGATGATATAGATTTATTTAGCTGAAGATTTTAGCTGGTAAATAATTCATTGGTTATATGCATCAACCATACAAATTAGAAGAAAACAAATAGATGTATGCTACGATGTTGATAATAAAGATAAAAAAAAATTTGGTTCTCTAGGTTTTTTTTGTTGTCTTTTGTTGATAATAATTTTTTCTAAAAGATAACATTGAATTAATAACTTATTAATTTTTGAGATTATAATTAAAAATTGATTAATGCTTTTTTTGGCGACACTGAATAATTATTTTAGAAGTTATACAATTTTTTTTAATTACATCGTAACTAAGAAATAGAAAAAGTAAATTTTCTCAAACAATACAAACCCTTTGTTTATCACTAAATCCTTTAATATATATTTGGTTTTTCATTTTAGTAGTGTTCATTTTTGTGACATCAATTATTTTACATAGACAAATATTGTCTTTTTGTTTTTAATAAAAACTGAATCAATAAAAATATCTTTATTGAAATGATTCAACTAATTTTTCATTTATACCAACATATTGTTTAACATTTCATATTGAACATGTTTGCACATAAAAGAACAAATAAAAATTAATATCGTCGTCGAATATAACAGATTGTTGTGAATTCTCACCATGAACAAAAAAATTTAATCTTATACAGTTATTGATAAATATAATCAAACAATCGATGAAAATTAAACTCATAAATCAGCACGAATCAATTTGTTAAAGTGTTAAGGTAAACTTTTTATAATCTTGAATATTTCTTTTGTTAAAATTTTTTTTTTTATTCATAGAGAATAGATTTTGTTCACTTTTGTTTTCATGATGCTGTTATAAATCAAGCATGTATTTATTAAATTAGATTATCATGATTAGAAACATTCAATATATTTGAATAATATATAACAGATTAAATTTAATTTTAAATATATAGATAATAATATTCAATGAATATATGTTCATTATGATCGTTTATATATCTATATATTTGATCATGAACATAGACATAGAGTCTCCAGTTCAAAAGATTTATATAATTTTTTATAATATGATATTCCATATATATTTTCTGATAAACGTCCATGACTATAAATATTGCAATTCAAATAGTGTTATTAATGTTCACATTTGAGTCACGAGTAATTGTGAAACGAAAAATTCAAGATGAGTTTAACACATAAGTTTAAGACATAGACAGCATTAAAAAGTATTTCTAATGCTTCTCTGAAATTATAACACTAGCAGGTCGACAAAGTTCTGAGGTACTTTCAAAATTTACAGAAGAAAAAATTAACGATGTTCACAATGTTGATGGAAAGAGTCTGTATTGAGTGTTTTTGAGATTAATACAACAGCCCGATTGACTTGCGGAGCAATACATACACTGAATTATGATCGAGAGTGTTCCAGTGAAGACATACAAAGTATAATTTATCTAATAAATTTACGAAGAAGATTTATAACATCAAGTTGAGGTTAGATGACTTTGACATCAATGTTAGAAAATATCAATAGTCAAGAAATGTTTTTTCTTTGGACGAGACTATTCTTATTTAAATGGTTTATTCATAAACATAAGGTGAAAACTAATGTGTAATATGACACATAAAGTTTTGGAAGGCAAACTTGGGGAGTTGAATACACATCCACAACATGTTGTGTTTTCATGTTCTATTTATTTTTTAATGAATAGAAGGTATTAATAGAAAATATTTAGTAATAATATAGCTATTACCAAGGTTAGCTTGATTGAGAGGTGTATGCAACTTGTCCCAATCATGAAAAATTTTTGTTATTTCCCAGTGGAGTCGAAAATTTTTTATTGCGATCTCTGAGGAAAAATATGTACACCTCTTCGAAAAAACTGCGATATCTCCTCAATGTTCGCGACTTCGGATCAGCCTTGATTATTATGATTGAGATAAATAAGAAAAAACATAACTCATTATCTTTCTCATGCATGTATTATTTTTATATAAAATACAAAAAACAAAACAAAACAAAACATATTAACATTGAAATATAATCATATTTTACTTAATTTTCTTTAGATAAAAAAGAAATCTATATTATTATGGAAGACGAACAACAAGCAGAATTAATTGAGGAATGCAATGTTTTGGTAGGTATTGTTTTTTATACATACTTATATTTGACTATAGCCCTAATAATAACATTGTTGGCTAAAAAATCGATCTTGGCTCAGATATATTCAAATTGCATGAAATTTTCAGGATATGCTGCAGCTGTAGTGGAAAGGCTATAGTAAAATCCTCAACTCTATTCAATGGTGTTTTCGCGAGATATTCAACAAACAAAGGTCGAAAATAGCTCATTTGGTAGCCCAAAATTCTCTATAGGCCTTAATTCTATAGACTTAATTTATTGTTTGCTTGAGAGAGTATTAATAGTACTCTAATTATAAAAGTACTCTTTTATGAAATAGTAACAAAGCTTAATGAAGCTTCTTCGAGAATTTTGAAATGCGCGATTAAAAAAGGGAAAAAGATTTTCCATTTTATCTGAAAAAAAAACCAGATTTTTAAAACAGAAAATAAAGAAAATTTTTGGAAAAAGAATGAGGTACCAAATAAAAAATCATGCCATTTATGAAAAATCAGACCTCGAACTATCTTTCCATGTATTTATCTCAGTTTTTATTTTTCTTTGACGGAAATTAGCCCATTTAAAATGTCTATTATCGTTTTTTTTTATCAAAGTTGAAATTAAAATGAAAAGAATTCAAAATGTAACAATATCAACAAGAAAAATTTCCTTATTAGACAATTCTATTGAAATTTAATATTAGTACATTGAAAAATTCAAATCTTTGTAATAAAAACATTATTTTCTTTTATTTTTTAGCGTCGTGAATTAAATGATTTAATGACAAATGATTTCGATCGTGTTCTAGCAGAAATAAGTGATATTCTTAAAGTATCTTAAATGTTCTATTAATATTTCATAACCTTTGTATTCTATTTTTCTTTTACAGACTTCTGTTCGTTCATTAAAACGTCCAGATGAGTGTAAGCTTTTGGTTTTTTCATTTTGCACTCTTGGATAAAAGCCTCTTCTCCTCTCAATCATTCTTTTCGTATAGAACCACTTTAGTCTCAAGTGAATGTTAGTTACAAGTATGGCTAAAGTACTCTATTATAGTGTAGTATATGATTGATAACAACTTGCCGCAATGAAGAATATACTTCTTTCAATACAAGTGGGCAACACTACAAATGAGTTGATGACACAATGTTTTGTGATTGGGTTATCTTTTTTTTGTATCTATTAACTGTTTTACTGGTTTGAACCATTAAACTCTTGTCGTCGCCGACTCGAAGCTCTTCCGAGAATGGAGTATAGTCCATTATATAAATACAGATAAAGTAAAACATTCAGAAAATATAACATACATTCTTCATTGAAGTAGATTGCAATCAATTATACACTACACTAAAAAACAGTTTTTAAGTCATTCTTGTAACCAACAGGGTTCGATACAAAAAGAATGAGAGAGAAGGGGAAGATTTTTGCTCATGGATGTAAATCTTTAATTTTTCTTTTCACTTGTTCTATTTAAGCAACAGACATTACAACGTCTGATGCTATTGCTAAACCAATCGTATTATCATTAGCGCATCCTCAGTATGATTAAAATTTATTAAATTAAACTTAAACAAAATTTATTTTTCATTTTTAGAAATAGTGAAATTTTAAAATGTACTGTAACTCTACTCGGATCAGACATAACAGCAGCTGTAAATTAAAAAAATATATATATTATTTTTTTAATATAATTATAATTCATTTTCTAGGATGTAGTTTATAAAGCTGGAACAAAAGTTCAACCACCAATGAATAATGCATTTCGAACAACAATAGCAACACAACAAATGAAATATTGGTCTCTTCAACAAGTAACAAAAAGAAAACGAATAATCTTTTGTTTTTTTGAAAATTAAGAATTAAAAATCGTTTTCATTTAGTTACATGAATGTACACAACATCTTGAACGTGCATTACGTTATGTTCTATTAACAGATTTTGATCGTAATATTGAACAATTATATAAAGCTATACAATATCTTGATTTAATTATTGATTGTGTTAATAATGCTAAAGATAATATTTTATTACCAAAGAAAAAACGTATTGATGATTTAAGACGAAGTAAAAACACAGTAATAAAAACAAAAAGAAAATTTTTATTGAATTAAATTAAGATTCTTCTATTTTTGTTTATAGACAATTTTTACACCATCAATACCAGAAAATATGGCATTTAGTTTTTATGTTCAAGGTTCAAAATTATCATTTGCTGTTTATCATACAAGTGTTCAAGGAAAATCAAGTGGTTATTTTAAACATTTTGTATGTACAAAAAAAAATAATAAAGAAAAACCGATAATAACTTAAATGAAAAATTTTACATTTTTGTTTTTTTTTCATTATTTAGATTGAAGCTAATGTACCAGCACTTGGTGATTTATTAAATCAATTATCTTATATACTTTTACAATTACAACAACTTCGAGATAAAGTAGATAAATTTTATCAATTAATAAATTCATAGAAAATATTTTTCTTTTCTTAGTTACGTATTTTCGACGAATATCAAAATGGATCGGATTGGAAATTAATGGAAGAAAAACAAAATGAGACTGATAATCTTATGACCATGTTTTAATTTTCTTTTCTTTCTTTTTTTTTTGTATTAAATTATGTCAAGTGTAATACATATATTTATATATATATATATATATATATATATATATTGTTCATCAAACATCTAATTCCAGATGATATTGACAAAACCTTTTAATCTAATAGTTCGTTTTGTTAAAAATACAAATAAAAACTTATTATCTCATTGTTCTTTATCAACAGACCGTTCTGAAACAATCTCAGCAGCATTAAAACAATTTTATTTAAAAGTTCATCCTGATTTATTTACTCAATATCCAAAAGAAAAAGTAATTCAATACGAGAAAAATTAAAATTGTTCTTAGATGATGTTTTTTTTGTTTCGTTTTATTAAAGGATGTTAATGAGAAAAGTTTACAATTGGTTAGTGCTTATCTTTCTGGATTGCAACGTAAAGAATATATGGCACCCATCACTGTTACTTTCTTTACAAAATTATCGCCAAATTTACCTCCACGTGGGTTAACTTTTTCTGAAAAATTTTATTCATTACTATTCATTTTAATTGTTTTTTATTTTATTTTTATTTCAATTCTAGCTGCACCAGTGTCATTCATTCCTCATCGTATTACACTCAATTCAAATAATCTTATAACTAGTGTGAACAGTATATTAACTGCATTGAACTTACTGACTGTTGATAGACCAAAAGAACAAAAACAAGTTGGTCAACATGAAATTCAATTTAAAATAATTGAAATTGAAAAATTTTATGATTTTACAAAAATTCCTAAAATATCACTGAAGTAAGAATAAAAAATTTCGAATTCTTTTTTTCTTTTTAATGGTATTATTATTTTGTTTTCTTTTTAGAACATGGTTAACAAATAATGTTGAAGCAGCACGTGTTATAACTAAACGACATCAGAAATTATTAAATGAAATTAGTGATAAAATTAATAGTATTAAAGAACGTTTTAAATTGAAATCAATTGAATATAGTGATGATTGGTCTGTACCACAATTTTCTACTTGTTTAAGAACATTACTTATGTATGCTGATAAATGGCATGAAAAACTTTTGACTTTAGAAGGTATTTCTTATAGATACATAATAATGAGATTTCTACTACTTGAAAACTTAAAGCTTTAGTGAAGAAGATAATCAAGAAGAAACTATTATTCGGTTACAATTATCAGTTGAAGACATTGCTAGGAAGAATTTCAAAAATCCAATTTTTTTTTGTCTTCAATAATTGTCTTTTATTGAGTTGTAGTTCTGAATAGAGGACTAGCTTCTCATAAAGTTCTTTTCATTCTGTTAATTGAACATTCATATACGCTCACTCTGAGCATAGAAATGATCTCAAGACTTAATAACAAAGAAAAGCTGGAACAATTGATGTGTATCTCAATCTAATCGATATAAATTATTCATAATTAATTTGTAGGTAAATTTATTGAAGTATAGACTATTTGATAATCTAAATATTCTTCGATCATTTCATTATCGTTAATAACATATCCAGTAATAGAAAGTTTATAAAGTATTTTAAAATTGAAATTTTTCTTTTTATTACTTATTTATCTTATCTTTTATCTTCTTCATATGAGTTCGGTTTGACTAGCAAAAAATTTTTTTTTGTATTCTTCTCAATACGAAAAGTAACATTGACCTATAATAATAATCATCTTTTTCTTCTTATTATTAAATATAGGTAAACGACTTATATTTGGTGATAAATCATGTTTACTTCAAGATGGTTCACTTGAATTAAGTGCTAATGAACCACCTGTTTATTGGGATCATGTTATTTGTTGTGAATTACTTCATTCAGATAAATATATGGAAAAAATAGCTTCATATGAGAATAATCTTAGTCAATATTTTCATGATATTAAAATTCGACAAGATCCTGATTCCGAATATTTATATCGTGCACATACATATTTATATCATCTTATACAATTAAGTTCTCATTTGAATTTAAATCGTCATCATGAAGCACATAAAAAAAAATCATGGAAAAATTTTTATTTATTTATTAATCCATATAGTTCAGAACCATCATTAACAAATAGTGGTTTTTTTCAAATTAGTGCATTTGATGCTACTATGGATATATTAGATTTTATGATTAATAATAGAAAACAAGCTGAAGAAACAAGAAATTTATATGAAAAAGATGTTGAAAAAGGACATCATTTACTTGAAATAATAAAAAAACAATTTAATTTAACTGATATATTAATAAATCGACGAATAAAAAAAAGTGATATTAATCAATCTTGTCAACGTTTAATTAATGAACGTCAACATTTTTTAAATATTTTAACAAAATGTCGTCTTAAAATTGATAAAAATTATAATCTAGCACAAAATGGTACTATGTCAATACCATGGGATTGGTCATTGACGCAAAATGAAACGCTTTAAATTTGTAGTATAATTTTTGTGTGTATTTACAGAATAAATTTATTTTTAATAATAACTAAAAGTTGAAATATACTTTTGTTAGCTTTTTGTATTCTTTTAGATATGCTTCGATTTTCCGCTCGTGTTGTTGTTGTTACTGGTGCTGGTAATGGTTTAGGAAAAGTATTTACAAAACAAAAAAAAATTTATAAGAAAAAAAATCGAAATTGATTTAAATATCTTTTAGGAATATGCACTTGGATTTGCTGAACGTGGTGCAAGTGTTGTTGTCAATGATTTAGGTGGAAGTGCATCAGGTGATGGCAATCATTCATCTCGACCAGCTGATGAAGTTGTTAAACTTATTCAATCACGTGGTGGAAAAGCTGTAGCTGATTATCATTCTGTTGAAGATGGAAAAGCTATTATAGAAGCAGCAATTAAGAATTTTGGTCGTATTGACATTCTTGTAATAGACAAAAGAATTTTAATTCAAATTAATAAATATTTTTTTTTTAAATTATTTTAGGTAAATAATGCAGGTATTTTACGTGATAAAAGTTTTATGAATATGACAGAACAAGATTGGGATCTTGTACAACGTATTCATTTACGAGCAGCTTATTTAATAACACATGCTGCTTGGTCATATATGAGACAACAAAAATATGGAAGAATTATATTTACTACATCAACATCGGGCCTTTATGGCAATTTTGGACAGGTTCGATTTTAAATCTTTATCACATATTTATTTCGATAAACAACAAAAACATGTTTAATGTAGTAGAAGAAAATGCTAGCGATCTATGACTTTTATTATTAAAGTTATATATGTAAAGCAGAGATAGGATCGATTCAGATTTTTTAAAATTTAAATCGAAATTGATTTAAGATCCTTCGAACCAATCCCATTTTTGATGTGAAGTACATCATTAGTCAATTATACATAAATTCATATCATCGTTTTCGCTTGGTGTAACAGTCAATAGTTTAATGAGGCATGCCACAAAACCATTAAGGTATTGACACCAATTAATACTAATATCAGTCAATATCAAATGGTATTGTGATATGCTGAATGTCAGTATTTTAGTTCTTTTCATTCCAGTTAGACATGAGCGGAACCATCTTGCTCATATCTAATTCCAGTGCTATTACAAAAATAGACGCAATCATTCTAGATTAACTCAAGAGAGAACTCTTCTAAATGATAATCTCCATTTTGCTGATTGTTAGAGTTCATTATGCATATGAAAATTCTGAACGAGTTTGTGCATAAACCTGTTTAGGATTTTTATCTACATAAACGACTCTAACAATTAGCAAAATAGAAGCTATCATTTGGAAAAGTTCCCTCGTCAATGGAACAAACTGCTATTCTAGATATCACAAATTTAATATTGTTATGACGATGAAAAAAAAACAAAAGACTTTTTATTTGTAGGCAAACTATAGTGCTGCTAAAATGGGTTTAGTCGGTTTATCAAATACACTTGCACTTGAAGGAGCTAAATATAATATAACATGTCATGCTATTGCACCAACAGCATATTCACGCTTAACACAAGATCTTCTACCACCAGATGCTGAAGAAAATTTAAAACCAGCTTTTGTTATGCCACTTGTTCTTTATTTATGTCATGAATCTTGTACTGATACAGGTTCTTTATTTCAAGTAGCTGGTGGATGGATAGGTAAAGTTCGTTTAGAAAAATCTTCTGGTGCAATGGTACGTCGTCCAAATAAACCAATGACAGTTGAAGATGTACGAGACAATTGGAAAGATATAATTAGTTTTGCAACACCATTACATCATTCAACACAAGCTGAACAAGTAACACATTTGTGGGATGCTATAAGAAAAATGAATAATAATAATAATGATGATGATGATAAAGTTCTTACTCAAACATTTTCTTATACAGCAAATCAAATTATTTTATATGCACTTTCTGTTGGTTGTTCTTTACGTCAACCGAATTCATTACGTTTTCTTTATGAAAATCATGAAGAATTTTCTGCTTTACCAACATTTGCTGTTATACCAGCTCAAGCATTATCAATGAATTTAATTAGTTCAGGAAAACTTGGTTTTGATATTGACTTATTACGAGTAAATTTTTATTTAAATAAATAAAACAAAACAACAAAATCTTTGTGATTTTCTTTATCATAGGTTCTTCATGGTGAACAATATGTTGAATTATTTGAACCATTACCAACATCTGGTACTGTGACATTAAAAGGAAAAGTTGTTGATGTACTTGATAAAGGTTCTGGTGCTGTACTTATTTATGATGGTAGAAATTTTTTTTTTATTAAATTTCTATTCTAATTTCTTATTTATGAATATATTTTCTAGTGGAAATATTTAATGAAAACGAAAAATTAATTGCTCTTAATCAATTTGTTATTTTTTCTGTTGGTTCAGGTGGTTTTGGTGGTAAAAAAACTAGTGAAAATCAACGAAAATATCTTCCAGCACCACAACGAAAATCTGATCAAATATGTCGTGAAACAACAAATATTGATCAAGCAGCACTTTATCGTTTAAATGGTGATAGAAATCCATTACATATTGATCCATCATTTGCATCAGCAGCTGGTATTCTTAAGATTTATTATTTATTTATATTAAAAAAAAAATCAAATTTTTTTCTTTTTTTTCCCAAGGTTTTTCACGTCCAATTTTACATGGTTTATGTTCATTTGGTTATGCAGCTCGACATGTTTTACATACATATGCGAACGATAATCCAGTATTATTTAAAGCTATTAAAGTAGAGGAAAACTTATCAATTTCAATAATAATAAAATAAATTTGTTTATAGGTTCGTTTTACAAAACCTGTTGAACCTGGTCAAACTATTGAAACACATATGTGGCGTGAAGGAAATCGAATCTTTTTCGAATCAAAGGTTTATTTTTTCAAAATTCATGTTTAATTATTTCATTTTTTCTTGTATTTTCAAATAGGTACCAGAATCAAATCAAACAGTATTAACAGGTGGTTATGTTGATTTACATGATGTAGTTCTTAATATAAATACACCAGGCACTGCTGAGGTAAGAAATAAATAAAAAAAAGAAGAACTTAAATTTCAACCCTCATTTCTTACATTTTATATCTCTCAAAGTAAATAAAGAACAGTAACTAAGGTTTTTGAGATAATGCATGTGATTAAATATCTGTGCAAATAGCACATCTTATATTTTTTTCTTTTCGTATATCAAAATGACTAAAGAGGTACAACATATAGAAAACGAATTTTTTAATTCTTTTTTATTGTTTAAAATAAATTTTAGAAAAGTTCAACAGCCACAACAACAACATCATCATCAGGAGTAGAATTAAAAGCTAGAACAGCTTTTAATGAAATAAATAAACGTGCTAAAGGTCAACCAGATCTTGTAAAAAAAGTTGGTGCAGTTATTGTATTTGATATAACAAAAGACGGAAATGTTCAACAAAGTTGGAGTAAGTCACAAAAATACACGCAGACATATAAATTAATATTCATATATTTATTTATTTGTTTTATTTTATGCTTTGTTTTTCAGCTATTGATGGAAAAAAAGGTACTATCTATGAAGGTAAACCCCTGGAAGGAACAACAGCACAAGTGACAATTACAGTCGATGATAATGATTTTGTAGATTTGTCTTCAGGCAAAGCTAATGCACCTGCCGTATGTATTAACATTTAAAATCTATTATATACAATTATATTGTTTTATTTTATAGCTTTTTGCTAAGGGTAAATTGAAAGTAAAAGGCAATGTTATGTTAGCACAAAAATTATCTACATTATTCAAAGATCAAGCTAAATTATAAGGATGAACGACAACAACAATAAAGAACAAAAATAAATTTTTTCTTTTTGTTTTAATTATAACGATTTGAGATTTTAGTTGTTTTCTTTTTATTATCACACTGTGATTATCATATACAGATTCTTTTTAAAAAAAAAAATAAACATGTATTAATACATATGTAAATATGTCTTCTATTGATAATATCTATTTTTCATTGGAAAGGAAATGATGAGAGACATAACAAATCTTTTCTTTGTTTTTTTATTTTATTTGGAGTAAAAATCCATTAGATTTGATACTATGATATATATATATAAGTGTCTGCATGTTTGGATATATTTTATTTTGAAATTACAATTTAAATAGTTTTGCCACAATTATATATATTTTGTATGTTCTATATGGTGCTTGATGTCTTTCTTTTTGTGCTTACGTTACAATAGAAACATCAAAAGCGGAAGAAAACAGATACTATTGAACCCAAACAAGGGAAGCAATAAGAATGTCGAGATATATATATAATCGGATATAGGTCGGTAAATTAGGGATTAGCAAAGAATATAATGATGCACGAGATAATAGAAGGAAATGAATGATAAGAATAGAATCTTATCTAGATAGCTTATTATTGTAGGCAATTCTATGAATTTAAACACGTTTATACTCACTTCTAATTTATTCTTTGTTTTTTTTATATCGCTCTTCATCATCATTTTCAGGAACATAATATTTTTCAGTCATTATTATCGTCAATATAAAAAAAAGACTTATTATACACATGTATCAACTATAAGGAATGATAACAAGTTTATTTATCTAGAATATGTCATGTTTGATATATACTTAACTAGTACTATTCAAACATGTAATTACAAACAAAAACAAATATATCATCCTACTTGCAATTTGAATACATGAAAATAAGGTTTTCTGTGTATTATCTGGTATTGAATAATTATTTAAGATAAAAAAAAATACTAAATTTAAAGTTCAATATCATAAACAAAAGAAGATCAAAAAATGATGTATTATATATACATGAAAGATATTTCTATTAATAGAAAAATAATGGCATCACATTATTGAATAAAATCATTTGTTTGGTTATGTTTTCACTGAATGACACTACCTGTTACGAACGGGGTAACATAAAAGACTAAAATATAAAACAAAAAAAGAACTGTCTATTGGGTACAAAGTTGATTGATATAGGTTACTTTTTTCTTTTGGCATTTAAAATCGAAATAGAGGAACAATACATAAATGTGAATAAGAGATGGATGATGAAGGTGACTCGTTGTTGCACATTCTATTTCTATTTCTATTTCTATTTCTATTTCTATTTCTATAATTGTCGTTATTCGCCATATAGATCGGATCATGTTTGTCATTGTCTCGTGTTTATTTGTTAATATTTCTCGCCTATCTATCGTTTACTTTTTTTCTGCTCTTTAGTCATTCTCTCTCTCTCTCTCTCTTTATTTCTCTTTCACTGTAAAATAACAATAAGGGCAGTAATAATAACAGCAGAAAACGAGCTACAATGCATAGTTAATAGAAAGGAGCAATGGCTATTTAGAATTCAACACACACATATAGTCATAAGGGCTTTTCTTTTGTTTCCGATTACCTATGAGTGAACTCGGGACTAGTCGACATTGTTGGTCATGGCGAAGTTGTTTTGCAGCTGTAAAACATAATAAAAGAAAAATGAAGAAACAACAAAATCTTAAACCATAGTAAGTCAACTATGACGATCTATTTTGTGTGTAATTAACTATATGCAAGTTAAAAAAAGAAAATTATATATATATAGTCTGATATTTTTATTTTTGTAGTCAAGAAAAAGTTTCTCCAAATGGTCACATTCATAATAAACCTTCACATACAGTTGATGAAAATTCAAATATTTTATATGATACTAATTTATCATCTAAAAATACAATATCCAATGAATATAATCAACATTTAATATCAAATATGAATAACAATGTAATCGATGATCATAATATACAACAAACAATTGATGGTATTAATTCAATAATAATTAATCAAAAATCATCATCATCAACAATACGAACAACACAATTAGATGTTATTGTAGAAGATTCAAATGAAGAAAATTCTGATGATGGTGATGAAACAATACAACCTATCAGGTAGAGAGATAATCATGTTTCTTTTTCTTTTTCTTTTTCTTTTTAATTGATTATCTTTTTATTTTGATTTATTATAGATTATGTCATGATAGTGATTTAATTAATGATTTTAATGATCTTTATATTCGTTTATTTGATTTAAGTAAAATGAAGCATATTATAAAACAATTCAATGATAATGATTATTTATTTGATGAATTTATACGTCAAATAGGTAAATTAAAATTAAAAATAGATGATATTAAACGAGCTCGTATCGAAATACCACGTCATGCTGAATTACTTGAAGCAAGGTAAAAGTAAATTTAAAATTGACAAAATTATTATTTTATTCTTTTATAGATATTCAACATTATTAGCTACAATTGAAAGTCTTTCATTATTATTAAAAATTGGTCAAATTTCAACATTTCATTTTTTTATTAATAATCTTATATGTTCTATTGAACAACGAATAGAACAATTGAATAGATATATTAAATTATCATCATCAATCAATTTACGTCAACAACGACAAGATTTAAATGATGATGATTTTCTGTCATTTCGTAGTGCACTTTCATCATATGAACATCTTTTAATAATGTCGTCATGATATTCATTTTGTTTATATCTATATATTTATATTTAGTAGCATTTCAATTTTGTTTTTTTAATAGGAATAATCATCTGTTTGTCTATTGAAATGATTATTATTAAATATATATGAAACAAAATGCCTAGTTTTTTCTCTTACTGGTTAATAATTCTCTACACAATCGACATTTTCTCACTAGTGCATATATAATGAATCATATGATACGTATATACAAAGTAGTACTGATATATGTTCTTCTCTACTTATTACTATTGGTTCTAGTTTTTTTTTCTTATCTGAATACAGGTCCGTCAACGAAGAAAATTGTTGTTTTTTTCATTAGCAATCTAAGCATGTATCGTCTTCTATAAAATATCCTAAGAAATATTTATATCATTGAGAAAAAACAACAGATAAAAGAAAGAAAAACATGTTTTGTCAGGCTCTTGTTATTTCGAATGTTATTATTATTTTAAGTTTTGTATCCATAATCAATACACAACATTTACCATTATGTGATTCCTTAAATGAAATTGAAGGTAATGAAAATACTAAGAATAATAATGAAATAAAAATACGACGTGTACGTGCTCTTTGTGATGCTATTTATTCATCTCGAGCAATATCGGATAACAATGAATTAGATTCAATACCAGATTTTGATTTAACTCAAATTGATTCAGGTAAACATATCTACAAAAAAAACTTATTCATAATAATAAAATTTTGAAATTATTATTCAGACAATGATGCTAATCAAATATTAGAACGATTTCGTCGTCGTGGTGGTATGTATCAATTTGACTGAAAGAGAAAATGATGAGGAAATATATATCTCTAAAAAAATATCGAAAATGTTCCAGATGTCATTAAATGATTCTGTTAAGGGTGAAGTGTGGGAGTAGAGGTAGATGTAAAGAGAAGACTGATATCTGCATGGAGATCCCACACGGATCCCTACACCCACACTCATCCACATAAAAAAAGTAGTCTTGTCGTTAGTTTTATTCTTGAATTTTGTTTTTGATACCCTATTATCAAAATATCTTTATCTACGCTGGTCGAGAATCTCAAAATAAACTTTTTTCGCTATTTTTTCTTTCGACAAAATTAATGCAATTTGTTGTTCTTCATCAGGTCGTGGCGGTGGTGGTGGTGGTGGTCGTGGCGGTGGTGGTGGTGGTCGTGGCGGTGGTGGTGGTGGTCGT